CACCAAGTTGACGATGAAAAGGAAAAGAGTTTCGAGAAGGAGATCCATGGCCAAGAAAAGGGGAATGAGTCCAAAAGGAAAAAGAAGGGGTGAGGAAAGAGTAAGATGGGCGTCCCCAACGAATCCCTCTCCAGTCAATCAGATCCACGAGCAGGTTGCGAATGGCTTGACTTATTTATGCCCCTAACTACAAGACTACAAACAAACTCAAAGTCTCAAAGTTGTCGGACATTGTAATTTGTTAGATGGAGTAAGTTTCAAGGTTAGAATTTGGAGTTAATCAAAAGGTGGACCATACTTTGAGACATTATTTTGGTATTAATGTTATTAATTTAATTAGTTCCTCGAAAATAATATTCTTTATATCTCCGTAAAATTAGTTTTAAGTTTTCACCCTTGCAATTTGTTTTGTTGGTTTTAGTCTTCTTCCAATTCTCTAACCACATACGTGGTACGTATGTTGAATAATAAAAGAGGTAAGTGTCAGTTTGGTCCTAGAAGTTGCATAAAAGGGGTCAAATAAGTCCTTATGACGTTCTTATTGTTCGGCCATCGCCATTTGGGGCAGTTTCCGGTGAAATTTTTTGATAAAATTTTTTGAGAATCTTATTCATTAAGTCTAGTTTACTCATACCAAATTTTATCTAAAACTTAAATCGGAAAGACATTCAAATGAAGTCATGAAGATGACTGCGCTTTTAATTGCACAGTTACCTTCAAGACTTCATTTGAATGCCTTCCCGATTGACGTTTTATCTGAAATTTTGTATGAGTAAACTAGACTTAATGAATAAGATGTTCAAAACATTTTATCAAAAAATTCCACCAGGAACCGCCCCAAATGGTGACGACCGGACAGTAAAAACGTTATAAGGACTTATTTGACCCCTTTTATGCAACTTCAAGGATCAAACTGATCCTTACCTCAATAATAAAATGTCATGATTGGAATACTTCCTTTCAAAGTCATTTTCTTTTGGAAAATACGGTATATTGAATATTTCATTTTCAAAAAGTCATGAAATCCTATATAGTTTGAAAATACGGTTTATATATCTTTAATTACGTACCTTTAACCCACCAAGCGTGCTGCTGCTGTTTCTTAAAAATTTATAAATTACACACAATGTGAAATTTAGTAAAGTAGAGGCTGATTAAAAACACATAACTTGCGGGATTGAAAACAAAAGCGAATAATACATCAAAGTAAAAGAAAAAGCGACATAATTGCACATCAAATCAAATTAAGAGCACGTTTGGTAGCTCAGTTTTTTAACTTATCAACCTTATTAGGCGACTTTTTCATCAAATACATAATTTTTGATTTTGCGCACAAAATTGCGTAATAATAAGAAAAAGTAAGGTTGAAGTTACTTTTCTGATTGTATTGACTGAAGTTACTGTAGATGATCATTTTAGCTATTTTTACATACACGTATAATTTTTTCTTTATTTCATTAATAAAATATATTTTTAATATAATTTTTTAATAGATCAGCAGAATCAACCAATTCAACCAGAACTTCATAAATTTCAGCAAAATGAGCCGAATCAGCCGATTTTGGTATTACCAAACGGGCTCTAAATAAGGTGAATGCTATAGTAAAATAAATAGGGAGAATTTGACTGTGCACCCCATTTGTGGATGATATTTGACTTTACACCTTATTTTCGTGTGCTATTTGACTTTGCACCATATTTTCAAAATCATTAATATATACACTCAGTTCACTATATAATCATTTGACTTTACACTTTGCTCCTTCATAATTTTTAGATTGATGAGATGCACACAACACACATTAATGATTTTGAAAACGTTTACAATATCAACCAAGGATGTTTTTATTTGGACTGGAATTTGCTGGTCTGGTATGGTATAGTTTGGTCTGAACTCGTCTGGTATGGTATGGTAATGTCTGATCTCTGTGTATTTTATAACTATCCAAGTCTGGTTTGGTCTGATCTGAACTGGTCTGGTATGATCTAGTCTGGGACTCAAAACAGTCCAAGTAAAAACATCCCAAATATTGAGGTGCAAAGTCAATTTTCTCTATAAAAAATGAGAGCATCTACATTAGTACACTACAAAAAAACAGCCTGTTTGTCACGAAAATTTGTCACGGATCCAAGCCGTGACAAAGTTGTCACGGTCTTTGTCGTCACGGATATTTCTGGTTTGTGACGGAAATATCCGTGACAAACAGCCTCCGATCACCGACAATTTACTCCGGCCAACATATATTTACTTCCGGGCAGTTTGTCACGGACATATCCGTGACAAATCCGTGACAAAATTCGATTTTTTTTTGTCACGGACGTATGCGTGACAATTCCATGACAAAATTCAAAAAACATTTGTCACGGACGGATCCGTGACAAAGTTCGTGACAAGCCCTAATAATTGATTTTCCGGCGGTCACGTTATTAATGGTGTACGAAAAGGTTATTTTCATAGATTTATTCGTGACAAATAGTTTTATATATGGCAGTGCATTCCCATTCGAGTGATAGAAGTTAAAATTCACTCAGAGTACAATACAATATTTGTTGAAAGAGTGAAGGATGTAACTTATATATCCGTTTATCATTTTCCATGTTTATGCAGATAATGTATGTGACTTGAAGTCTTGAATTACGTATTTTTTAATAAGTATTAATATTTTCATTTTAAATAATTAAAATTTTTAAATCAGTGAGGTTGTTAATTTATTAACAATATATTTAACTATAAACGTAATTTAGTTAAATTTAAATATTAGTTAATTGAAAATGGATTATAAAATTATTAGGTTTGTTTATTAGCAATTATTTTTATTGCCTAATTTAGGATTTATAGTGATTTAAGTTAGGATTGAAACATTAGTTTAGTGTGAATTATTATTGTGAATTAATAAAATTTTAATAATATTACTTAAATGTAAATTAACAAAGTTAAATTAATGAACTTTAGTTCCGTGACAATATTAGTTAAATGTAAATATTAGTTAATTGAAATGGGTTTGAATTGATAATATTATATATTAGGTAATACTGTGAATTTAGGATTTGAATTGATAATATTAGTTAAATTTAAATATTAGTTGATTGAAATGGATTTAAATGTGAATTAATTATTTGAATTTCATTTCATTTACATGTTAGTTAACTATTTGTTGTGTATTATTAGATTTTCATTATTTTAGTATTGTGAAGTAATGCCATTAACGTAATAATTTAGTGTATATTAGTGTTAAAATCCTGATATTGGGAATTAGTTATTAATTTAAATGATTAATGTCATTAATGTTTTGCTTTTAGTTAATTATCAATAACATTAATTGAACGTTAAATAATTTTTGTGTTAGTGAAATTTAATATATTAATGTTCCTAAATATTGTGAATTAGTTAATAATTTAAATGATAAATGTCTAATTAGTTAATAATTTAAATGATTAATGTCATTAACATATTGCTTTTAGTTAATTAATAATATTAATTGAACGTTAGTTAAATTTAGTGAACTTTAGTGAAATGTAATATATTAATGTTCATAAATGTTAATTAGTTATGATTCAAAAGTTAGTTAATTGAAATTATTAATATCACAAACATATTGCTTTTAGTTAATTAAATGGAGAAATTGAACGTTACTTAATGTTTATAATTTATAGTTTTTAAGCAATATTAAATTAAATTTTTTTGATTATAATATTCAGGCATTATGTATAGACAAAATAGAAGTTGGATGTATGATAAACATGACGAACAAAGAAGAATATGAACTGAATATTTTGAAGGAATTCAAGAGTTTTTAAATTTGCACTTGAACATAAGGATCATATGGATGGTGATAGAATCAGATATACATGTGTCAAGTGTAAAAACTCAAATTAAAAGACCCCGACGAGGTTGTATGAATTGTTTTTATAGTGTTTAATTATTATAAAAAATTTAAATGAATTTTTAAATTTGAATTTTTATTAAAAAGTGCACACAAAAATTTTTAATTTTTTTTATAATATAAAAAGTTTGTCATGAACAGTGTCTGTGACAAATCTTAAACTTTTTAAGATTTTTCAAAATATTATTCTAATTATTCCGTAACAAAAAAATTAATTTTTTAAAAAAATTAAAAAAATTGTCACGGATAAATCTGTGACAAAATGGAAAAAATTGAATTCAAAAATTTCAAGTTACCCGCCTAGCCCATTTCGGATATTTCAAAAAAAAATTGTCACAGATAAATCCGTGACAAAATGAAATATTTGAATTCAAAAAATTTCAACTTCCCCACCTAGCCCATTCCGTATATTTTAAAAATAATTCAAAAAAAAAATTGTCACGGATACATCCGTGACAAATAAGAACCAGCGACGCTCCGGTGTCTTGTTTTGTCACGGATATAAGCCGTGACAAAGCCTGTGACAAACTTTGTCACGAAAACAGGTTCGTGACAACGGTATTATCACACCATGGTTGTCACATATAATGCCGTGACAAAGTCCGTGACAAAAATACTTTGTCACAGATTTTTTGAACTAAGTTCCGTGACAACACCCTTGTTTTTTTGTAGCGGTACATATTGATTGATCTAAATCATCATTTATTTATACTAGTATATAAATAGTTCAATTGCAATATTTTAATTGATTGATGTTTATAAGATTAAGTGCCTTGTAACTAAAGTTACACGGTACTTTAATTTCAAGATATCATTCTTCAATCGTCTACATAAACCAATTACGGAGTAAAATATTACAATGAAATGCTTCAAATATCCTAGCAGACCTAGCTCAGTCCTTTGGTATCTAGCTTTCCCCTGGATATATAGCCACAGCTAAGCATTGTTTTCCTTCTTTGGAATCTTTCATTTCTACTATATATATTCTTCCACGCGGTTTACAAATAGAAGTAGGGAGGTGGTGATCATAGAATTATTATAATTTATCAATGGCAGGACTTGAAAGTTACATCATTTTACTGCTTGTTTTGGTCATCACTGCTGTTGTGGAGGGTGAAACGAATGGGTACATCTCAGCCGTCGGTGATCCGGGGATGAAAAGGGATGGGCTGAGAGTGGCGATCGAGGCATGGAACCAGTGCAATGAGGCCGGAGAGCAGGTCAACGGCTCGGTAAGCCCCAGAGCTGCCGATTGTTTTGATGTGCATAGGAATCATTCTTGTTCAAAATCTCATCAAGGTATTTCTGAACTCCTCTTAATTATACAACTACCTATCATATATACGAAGTAGTTCCATATTAAGAGGGATGATTAATTATTTTAATACAATGTACTTGAACTTGTAGGTATTTTGTATGTTTTGTTTTGATTTGTATGAGATTTGGATTAAAAAAAGATAAACTATACATTACCATCGTAAGTTCCTAACCATTTTGATAAGTTTGACCTTTAACTCTTTGCAAACGACTGCAGCCTAATAGCATTAGATTGTCGCATTGTCTCATCTTTCAGGCATTCCTCATATTAGATCCATGTAATTTCTAGGGCTGACATTTTGAACCGAAAAATCGAAAATCGAATAAAAAATAACCGAACTGCGTTGAAAAAAACCGAACCTGACTGATCGAACCGATTAATTTTGGGACCTGAAAATCGGGACTCGAAAAAATATTGGTTCGAAATCAGTTTACATACTCAAATTATCAGTTTGGACCGAACCGAACCGATTTTTAATAATATAATAACTATTATTACTAGTACTAATTAATGACGTTTACAAATGGTATAATATTGCTTCGAGAGCCATTTGACCATATGGGAAGCATTAGTGTGTTGGTCGTGTAGCGGATCTCCTTCCCATGTCGGCCCAGGTTTTCGAAAAAATAAGAGATTTACTTTAGAATTGTGACTAGAAAGTCACATAATATAGTTATTTCGAATTGGAGTGGCCTTTAATGGGCTCAATATTCTAGTATAAAGATATGTCGGGCTTCATGGGCTCGATGTTTTAATACCCAAATATATTGTGCTTAATGGGTCGAATACAAGTTAAAATTTAGGTATTTTTTATTATTACAGTAATCGGTTTGCTTTGGTTTCTGACAAAAACCGGTTACCAATAAACTGGAACCCGATCCATGAATGGTTCGATTTCGGGTGTAATAATTCGGTTCAGTTCCAAGATTCTTTGGATCAGTTCGGGACTCGAACTGAATCTAGCCCTAGAAATTTCCTTTTCAGGTAAGGTTTGGCCTCCGAATCGTATATTCTTATTATCTTCTCATGCAATCCAATAAATGTTCCCCATTGACTACTCGTTTTAAAAAATATGAACGTAAAATAAGATTAATGTAAGTACACATATTCAGTAATTTATATGATACCACACAAAAAACATAGGATTGACAGAGATTTTTAATTGGTAGAGATTTTTCAAAATTGGCAGGGATTTCACAAAATTGGTAGAGATTTTGACAGGATATGCCAAATCCGTGCCAAAAACAGTTTGACATGAGCTATTCGACACGAATCATCAGTAAATTCGTACCAAATTCGTGCCAATACCGTATTTTTTTATAGTGTGAATATAAATATCGTGTTCAATTATATGGTTCAATTATGCTCATTTAGGACCGAAAATAACTGAATCGCAATGGAAAAAACCGAAAAACCGAACAAAAAAATTCAATCTTTCTTATAATTTACACAGTCCCAAATTCTTTAATACTATGTACAAACTATTATTTATTTTTTCATATGATATGCTAGTAAATTTGAGTGTAAATTCAGAACTAGTTGGGGTAGCATGTTCAAGTGTAATGGCCTGATACGTTAGATATTTGTCCTGTGTGCTTTATAACTATCAAATCTTGATCTAGTTAGGCATAGGACCGAAAGAAGTCGAATTAAAAACATTCCAAGTATTAATTAGGTGTTATGAAGGCGCCGTTTGGATATCAGCGTCTTAGGCCAAACCATCATTTATTTACAAAGAGAAACCGCTGCTTTTTGCAGCGTTTTGGATGAAACCGCCAAGTAACAAACGGCCCCAAAGTCATATTTTGACCATTATACATTACTAATGAAAAGATTATTTATTTAAGATGCACTTTCTCACAATATATTCAGAGAGTTTTTCTAAAATACTAATCATTAAAGATTATTACTACAACCATGACACAGAGACAGAGTCACAATTTAATGTCAGTGGTGTCAATTGAGCAAAATAATATTGTATAATAATGTGTACATATATACTCCGTATGTATAAAGTAATAGGTTGTCATTCAACGGCGCGTTTCCATATGTTGAAAATGTTGTGCGCGTTTCCATATGTTGAAAATGTTGTGCATTTTTTTCTTTGTTAACAATTTTAAATTATTAAATATATCTTTTTCAATAAAATTAAAGTAACTAAGACATCTTTCATTCAATTGTGCAATCGGTTCTTCTCGATTCCGCCTTTCTTTCTTGCAGCGATTCAGAGTTGGAATATTCTAGTAAGTGTTGTGCCACCCAAACTTTTCCTTTTGGCGTGACTTTTCATTCTGTTTTTAAAGTTAGTGTTACAACTTGTAAAATATATATATTGACCCCCACTTTTTTAAATGGTTTTGTCAATTTTAAATTTTTGAAAGATTACATATACATATATGTAGATCAGTTTATTTTTATCAGTGGAGTCAATTTTAAATTGTTTAAAAATTATATATATCTACATTTGAAACAGAAAATTTTCAGTGGTGTCAATTGACACCGCAACCTTATAGGTGGCTCCGTTGCCACGACGTATAAAAGAATCATATTTTTGTATACTATACGTATTTTAGTCGTATATCATGCATGTTGGGCACGTCGAGCAGTGGGGCAGGAGATCAAGCTTGTCAAAAATAATTAGAGTTAATGACTCAAATAGGACTAAAACAAGTTCGGTGTGCACAAATAGGACCAAAAAACGAATCTATGTTTCATAGGACTTAAAAACACATATTTGTACAAAAATGCCCTCATTCAACTTTTATTTGAATTTAAAACTAAAAAAGTAAAATTAAAATTTCAGGAAACCCTAATATTTCACACAAGAACTTCAGTCAGCCTCAACGCAATTGGCACTTGCCGCCACCTTTGGTGGCGCTGCCTACTACCGCCTGCGCAAGCGCCGCCGTCCTCACCGCCGCCTGTCACCGACGTTGTATGCCTCCACCCTTACCGCCTGTCACCGCTCTCCCACACCGGAGTCACCATCCGCCGTAGCTTCCGCCATCCTCCGACCACCACCAGTGGAAACTTGACCTCCGAGCACCGTCACAACTCTGGCTCAAAAAAACTGCCATAGAGTTGTCAGATTTAATCTGGGGGTTTCATTTGAATTCTGCCATGAACAAGGATTTCAAATTTGCTACATATTTGGCAGATCTATCATGAAATAGTAACACAAAACGGCCATATATTTGACAAAAGCATGAAATGAATAATCAAAAGTTCAAAAAATTCCAAATTGTAATTGAATAAGCACGCTAACACAATTGAAAATTACAAATACGAAGTTATTTAAAAAGAATCAGAAAAGCCAGTTTACATATGCCTTTTTTGCCATAATATGATTTTGTCAGTGTACATTTCTGCCATAAACATGGCAAAATCATATGCCATTATCCAAAAATCCAGAAAATCAGAAATTTTCAAATACTGGGAAATACTCCGTAAGAAATTAGAAATACTAAAATAAAAGTCTGAAAAAATGGACAAATCCATATCAAAATCCTGAAAAACAGAAGAATAGAAATATGGAAAGGAAGATGAAGGCGAAGGAGATGGAAAAGATGGAGAAGGGGAAGGAGGAGGAGAAGAAGAAGAGGAAAAAACCTGAAATCCGAAGGAAAATAAAGTTGATGATGGTTGATGGAGAAAGCGACGAAGCGGAGGCGGCGGAGGCGACGAAGGCAGAGGCGGTGGAAGCACCATGCGGTGGAGTAAGCGATGCGGCAGATCTGGGATGCGGTTACTATTTCTTTGGGGTCTGGAGAAGTAATCGGCCGATTGATGAGTGGGGAAGGAGAGAGAGAATGTGTAAATGGGTTCAAGGGCAAATTTGGGATGGTAATTTTCGTATGTTTAATAATAGGAGTAACTTGATCCTATTAATGTAAGAAAACATATCAAGTCCTATTTTTGCATTTCTCTCCTATTTTAGTCCTATATAGGACAATTACTTAAATAATTATGCTTAGAAGTATTCGAACATGCATACGTAGTTTTGGGAGCCAGCAGATTCACAATTTTTTGATTGAAGGTGATATTCTGGTTTTGCAGAAATGAAAAACTGCTCTCTTTACAATTTAAAGCACAAAGTGAAAGAACATGATAATATGCTAGGAATTGGGCAAGCTCTTCCCCAGTTGGATCCCAAAGATCTGTACAACCCAGACATTTATGCTTACGAGAAAGAGATCTACTTGGGCTCAAAGTGTGAAGTGAAAGAGAATGATGCAAAACCATGGCAGTTCTGGATGATCATGCTCAAGAATGGCAACTTGGACACCACCACCGGTCCCACAGCAAAGTGTCCAAAAAATGGCATAAAAGTACCCATATTTACAGAGCCTAAATTCTCTTGCTTTGGAGAAGGGTGCATGAATCAGCCCCGGATTAACCACAGTTACACAGCTCTCTCACCGGGGCCTAATAGTTCCCTCATGGGCAGCTTTTACGGTACATGGGATTTGAGTTCTACTGTGGGAGGGGTAAAAGGGGATATGCCAGGCGACAACGCGTCCTTCTTTTCCGTCATGTGGCGGAAAGATCTCGGAAAGGGAAGTTGGACTTTCTACAATATTTTGAGGACCTCGCAAAACTTTCAATGGCTCATGCTTTATCTGAGGGCTGACGCCACCACGGGATTCTCGGGCGGGTACCACTATCCCACTCGGGGCATGTTAAAGATTGTAAGTACATCCATGCATTCTTTATGCATTCTTTCTTAGAGATTATCTTATATATTAAGAGACGAGGTTCAACCTAATAGGAGAAATAACCTCGCATATAGTAGTTTAATAGTTCGATAGATATGCATAAAGTTCTTTACATTTCCATTCTATTACCGCTATCATCTCTATAGAGTTTCATCTAAGTTTAATAGTTCAATGGATCTACATGAATTTCTACATCTTTTTGCATTGATGCAATTTACTTCCATAATCGATATCATCTCCTAGAATTGAACATATTGTTAAGACCTTTTACATTTATTACTTACAGCGATACAAAGCGGCATACAACTTTGACCAGGGCCATACTACTACTTTGATATGTGCATTTTTTGTTTTTTAGATTCCTCAATCGCCAAATTTCAATGTGACATTCACCCTCACCGTTAGCCAAGGAGGAGGTAGTAATAGCCAATTCTACTTGCTGGACATTGGGAGCTGTTGGAAGAACAATGGGAAGCCATGCGACGGAGATGTGACGTCGGACGTAACGAGGTATAGTGAAATGATACTCAACCCCGCCACGAAATCGTTGTGCGATCCGAATACATTCTCAGGCTGCCCTTTGTATCACACCTTCCCTAACGGAACAACGGTTCCCCGCAACGACACAGCCAATTTTCCGTATGGTGCGTACCACTACTATTGTGCACCGGGGAATGCCAAAGGCATTGACATCGGTGCTAAATGTGACCCCTACAGCAATCCTCAGGCTCAGGAGATTGTGCAACTTTTGCCCCATCCTGTTTGGGGTGATTATGGATACCCTACCAAGCAAGGTGAGGGATGGGATGGACATCCAAGAACATGGAACCTTGATGTTGGCCGACTGTCACAGAACCTCTATTTTTACCAGGTACGTAGTCACTGAGATAGTGACTAAGCTAGCCAACAACTCTTTTGTGTGTCATCGGTTGGTTGGTTATTATTCTGGGATCAAATTCCAAGTTTTATTGTTTGAATTGAACCAAAATAAATATGCATACTATCATGCTTGTCAATTTGTGATGCAGGATCCAGATGCAGTACCCGTGATTAGGAACTGGACGTCAATTGATTTAGGAACTGAAATATTTAATGATCCTTACAAAGTGGCAGAATGGAGTGTTAGTGACTTTAATGTTCTTGTTCCTAGACAAACCTAGGGGCAAACAACAAAATACCCTCCATAGGGAAACCAAACATATAATTTTCTTTTTCTCATATTCAAATCTTTCTTTTCGGGTTTTAAAATTCCGTACTTTGGTTCCTGTAAAAATCTCAGTTTTTCCTTCAAGGATACAGTATTGCATGTATCATGTATCCATAATTCCTTCGGAATTCTATGCACTCTCTTTTAGTTATATACTTTGATTTAATTTTTTCGTACAACACCGGAAAAATTTAGATTGCCACATTTCGATTATCACTACAATGAAAGCAAAGATAACACACGTCTACTTTTGCTTCTGTAATAGTCTTAAATAGTCTCTTTTGATTATAATTAGATTGCTAATAATTCTGTTTTGGTTAATTTTTTTGGATTTAAGTACTTTTACTCTTAAATTAATTTAGATCACCTTCTCCTTTGCATGTTGGATTGAGAAGACTTTTAAGTGGCATCTTTAGTCAAGAGCCGCCTAGGTAGTGCCATTTCCCGCCTTTCAGAACATTGATTTTTCTACTTAAATTCAAAACTCTTGTTTTCTTGCACACAAGTATAATACCCAACTCTTTATTCTCTAGGCCGTCTAGGTTGAATATAAACACAATTTATGTATTCATACAATTTGGTTAAGCGATTGGATATTGCATAATTGATGATAGCAAGCTAAGAGAATTAGGAAATACAATATTAGATCAAGAAAATAGAGTTTTTTATTGATACAAATCACATTGATCATAGTTGTTGTAAGGGAAGGAATTGGTTTTTGATGGTTCCATTATAAATAAGTAGTACTACTATTTGTTATCGAACTTGATAGCAAACTACACTAGAACTTGATGACCTGTTTTTTTTTTCTTTTTAAGTGTAAAGTCAATTTCCATTCTTATAGTGGGTCTCATCGGTTGTTACTGGTTAGTTAGACCGGTCTTGCCCCAAGCCAAATAGGTATAATCATTTTAACAAAAAGGAAAAGTGCACTCTTGGCTCCTTAAGTGCATTATAGTCCCTCAATTTAGGGGAAACGTGTAAATATATGCTTGATGTTTAAGTCCTGGTGCAAATGAGCCTCTAAGGTAGGGATGGACCCGGGCCGGTCCGGTTCCGGTTCCGGGCTGGGCCCGGGCGGGCTTTTTTTGCAAATCCTTGGGCCCGGAACCGGCCCGGGTTGATACCGGGTCCAGGCCTAACCGGGCTGGGTCGGGCCGGGCCCGGTTCAATGTCTAATTTTATTTTTTGCTTTCTTGTTATCCCCCGACCCCCCCCCCCCCCTCACCCCCACCCCCAAACCTCCCCAAAACATCCATCCCTACCCTAGGAAAAGGAAAAAAAATGAAAAAAAAAGAAAAAATTGACCCGGACCCGGCCCGAACCGCCCGGGCCGGTTCGCCCAAAACTGGGCCCCAACCCGGCCCGGCCTACCCGCCCAAACGGGCTAAAAGCCCGGAACCGGCCAACCGGTCCCGTCCTGGTCCAGGCCCGCATAGTAGCGGGCCGGGCCGGGCTGGTTCCGGGCCGGGCTGGCCCGGTTTAGTCCATCCCTACTCTAAGGTTTTGAAAAGTGCAAAGGAATTCCGACCTAGAATTCACATTTAGCAAAAAAATTATCCGTATTGACTTTAAATAAATAAATATTACGGAGTACTACTTATATATTTAAAAATATCAAAAGTATTGAATTTGGAGTTTGGAAAACATGGTTTATTAAATTAATGCTATCGTTAAAATATAAGGGTAAACTCAGGGGCGGATTGGGTCTATGGCCAGGCAGAGCCTAGGCCCATGCTCGAATTTTATTTTTTTTACCTAGTATATAGGTTGAAAAATTAGGCCCATCCTCAATTTTTTTTAAAATGTTTATAGAAGGCCCGTTAGTCCATTCATCCCCTGCACTCCGCACGAGTCCCTCCCAGCGCTCCAGGCCTCTAGGGAAGCCCAAAATTGGAAAATGGCCCAAAATCAGAAAAACCCAAGTTACTCAACTCTCGCAGTCTAGCAGTCCGCATCTTTCTGCTTTGACAAAACCCTTAAAGGCCAAATTGCAATTTCCAACCGAGCAATCCAGCATGCAGCAACGCTCGTCGATCATAAGTTGCTGCCTTTATGGTCGCACACAGCACTCAGATGTAAGCTGAGGCCTGAGATTATGAGAACTGCTGAGGCCTGGGATTCTGAGAACTGCTGGTCACGGCTAAGTGACTAAGAGGTAAGTTTTCAACTCTTTTAATTTTATTGTGCTTTTAATTCAATTTAATTAAAGATTAAATTATAGCTTGCTAATTATGAATTTGATTATTATTTAATACATTAATACTAATTAACTTTATAATAGATTAATAATAACAAATAACAACCAAATTCATACTACTATAATTTTATAAATGTTGATTAGAAGTTTACAAATAATAATCAAATTCATAAAGGTAATTAAGAGATATTGAGATACTATGACCCTGTTGAAGTAGGAGTTGGACTTGGTGATCTTGCAGAGAAGTTGGTAGAAACTAAGAAGCATAAGGTGTTTCCTTTAGTTTACAAGTTGTTGACATTGACATTGATTATTCCCGTTGCAATCGATATTGTTGAAAGTGTATTTTCAACAATGAATATCCTGAAGGATAGGTTGAGCAACCGGATGAGTGATGATTGGCTCAATGATGGATTTTTGTTTATGTAGAAACGATATCTTTTTAAAAATCGACAATGTTGTCAGTATCAAACGATATCAATCGCGGAAAACACGTAAAGAACAGTTGTAAAATTGTGGTGTTTTTGTACTTGACTTCGATGAAAACTCTTATTCCTATAATGTTTATTTTTGTCTTTGATTTTGTTGTTACGATAGATTTTTTATTTATTTATTTAAATTTTGGCCCACCCTCGATGCCAAAGCTAGATCCGCTCATGGGTAAACTTGCTCCTAAATACGTAGTATAATATAAAATTTGGAGACAATTTTGCACCTTTCAAAATCTTAAAGGCATATTTGCACCTAGAGCTAAACATCAAGGGTATATTTGCACCCCTTCCTATTTTATTAATTATAGAGTACATTAGTTTGACTATGGCACTACTCAGATATTCTATTTTTTCTCTTCGTCATATTTGTTGATGTATGAAGCATGTTTATATACGAAGTACATAGTATTTATCTTGATGTAATTTTCAAATATGATATCTACAACTTTTATTAATAGCTAATTGTTGAGTTTAATTCCAATACGAGATTTACCGTGTAAATCTACAAAATCATAGTTCAAGAATGATAATCACAATAACACTTGAGTTTTATGTGGAAACCCGAAACAGTGAAAACTACGGGACTTTTCAGGTTAAATCTAAGTCTATTCGCATTTTATTAATGTACTTTTCACTATTTACCGTACACAAGAAACTCTCATTAATGAAGTCAATACGAGTAAATATTAAGAAACTCTCGTTGATGAAGTCAATAAAGGTGAATTAAGAGACCTGAAAAATAACAGGTTGGTCCCGGGTTGGGTCAAAGTATTGCTAGGACCGGGCGGTCTCGGTCCAAAACCGACACCGGAGCAACCCGAGTCCACCCCTATGTCAAACATTAGGGGATAACATTAATGAGCAACTAGTCTCTCGAAATACATGATATATGTCCTAATTTCTGTTAACCAGACCACATAATGCAAAATGGATGGGTGTCTTTTGTAAAAAATCTTTTTAAACATATCGTTTTATACACATTTTTATTCACACCATCTATTTTTTATGTGTACATAAACAATTCATCTAAAAAATTCATCTACAATTATACTCATGTACTATGGGTGTGAGAACAAGTATACTCATATTCTATTTTTCGGGACAAATATATCCCTCAAGTATATATTGAAGTGCATATATACCCCTAAACTTTTAAAAAGTGCAAAAATACCCGTCGTGTTCTTATAAAGAAGCAAATTTATCGATAAAATCAATTTCATAAAACACAAAAACTAAAATATTGTTGTAAAATCCTGGAAATGACAAGTGTGAATTGTTCATCCTTGTCATCAATCCAGAAATTATGTTTAATCCTTGTAACCTAGTTAGAACAGATGGCTCAAATTGTTATTGCCACCAAATCTGTAGATTCATCCCTTAAGTGACTAATCATCAAGTTCAAACAGTATAAATAGGAGCTTGATGAGGCATTGTAAATTCATTCAGAAATTCAGAAATTCTCAGATATTAAGAAGAAGATATTTAGAGCTTTTATTAATATATCTATCTCTCAAATTTAGTCTTCATCTTCTTCATTTTCATAACACGTTATCAGCACGAATTTGCTCAAACACTCCAAGAAATCATCTTCCCGCGGATATGGATCACTCAAATGATAAAGAGCTATGTCTGATAGACAGCGCCACAACGCACACCATTTTGAGAAATAAAATATATTTCTCTCAAATGACTTTAGTTGAGGCTAAAGTCAATACCATATCAGGTGTTGCGAAGCTCATTGAAGGCTCTGGGAAAGCATATGTGATGCTACCTAATGGGACAAAAATAATTATAAATGACGCTTTATACTCCAGCAAATCGCGGAGAAATTTATTGAGCTTTAAAGATATGCGTCAAAATGGTTATCACATAGAAACCATGAATGAAAACCAGAAGGAATATCTTTGTCTCACGACAACTAAATCTGGCGCTAAATATTTTTGTGAAAAAATGCCAGCATATTCCTCAGGACTATATTTCACATATATTAGTCCATTCGAAATAAATTTGGTTTCTAACACAAAGTTAGATGATCGGAAAACATTCATGTTGTGGCATGACCGTTTAGGTCACCCAGGCCAAGTAATGATGCATAAAATCATTAAGACTTCACTTGGACACTCATTAAAGAATATCAGGGTTCCTGTATCAAGTGATTTTCCTTGTAAGGCCTGTTCTTTTGGCAAAATGATCATCAGGCCTTCAATGAACAAAATTGCAACTGAATCACCTGCATTTTTAGAAAGGATTCAAGGAGATATTTGTGGGCCGATAGCCCCACCATGTGGACCATTTCGATATTTTATGGTGTTGATTGATGCTTCAACACGTTGGTCACATGTTAGTCTTTTATCGACTAGAAATTTAGCATTTGCTAAACTCCTTGCTCAAATCATACGATTAAGAGCTCATTTTCCGGATCATTCTATAAAGAGAATCCGACTTGACAATGCAGGAGAATTTACATCCCAATCATTTAACGACTATTGTATGTCGATTGGGATTGATGTGGAGCATCCTGTTGCTCATGTCCATACACAAAATGGTCTTGCTGAATCTTTGATTAAACGATTACAATTAATCGCTAGACCATTATTAATGAAGTGTTATTTACCTTCATCAGCTTGGGGACATGCTATTTTACATGCAGCAAATTTAATTCGGCTTAGACCGACTGCATATCATGAATATTCTCCAATGCAATTAGTTACTGGACAAGAACCAAACTTAGCACACATTAAAATATTTGGTTGTGTTGTTTATGTTCCGATTGCTCCACCTTATCGTACAAAAATGGGTCCTCAAAGAAGGTTGAGAATTTATGTTGGATTTGAATCTCCCTCAATAATCAAATATCTTGAACCGATGACTGGTGACTTATTCACCGCACGGTTCGCTGACTGTCATTTCAATAAGACAGTATTCCCAACCTTAGGGGGAGAAACTAATAAATCGGACCCAAGTACGAAAGAAATAACATGGAATGCAACAGGATTATCACATCTTGACTCAAAATCAAATATATGTGAGCAAGAGGTGCAAAAGATAATCCATTTACAAAATGTTGCAAATCAGTTGCCTGATGCATTCACAGACACAAAGAAAGTGACAAAGTCACATATTCCTGCCATGAATGCCCCTGCCAGAATCGAAATCCCAACAGAGAATCCTGAAAAATCTTTTTCAAACGATTCTTCTATACACAAAAAGCGTGGCAGGCCACTTGGATCGAAAGATATAAAACCAAGAAAAACTAAAAGGCAGGAATCGATCTGTGATGCCAAAGATGTTCATCCTTCTGAACAAGAAAATGAACAATTTGAAAATATTGGCATAGAAAATGATATTGACAAAACAAATATCTCAAATGATGATCCAACTTCCTAAAATGAGGAAGATATTCCAGATAATGATAGAAACGTTGATAATTATGAAATTTCAATAAACTACGTTTTTACTGGAATGCAATGGAATCGTAAAGATATTGATATTAATAAGATATTTGTCTATGCCGTTGCCACAAATGTTATGAATGAAAACAATGACAATGAGCCAACATCAATAGAAGAATGTCAGAAACGACACGATTGACCAAAATGGAATGAAGCAATTCAGGCTGAATTGAAATCACTTGAAAAACGTGATGTTTTTGACCCATAGTCCCTACGCCAAAAGGCGTAAAACCAGTAGGCTTTAAATGGGTATTCGTGCGTAAACGCAATGAGAAAAATGAAATTGTAAGATATAAAGCCCGACTTGTTGCCCAAGGGTTTTCTCAAATGCCGGGAATTGATTATGAAGAAACCTATTCTCCAGTAGTTGATGCAACTACATTAAGGTTTCTCGTTGGCATGTCTATTTTTGAAAGGCTGCAAATGCGCCTAATGGATGTAGTAACTGCATATTTATACGGTTCACTCGATACAGACATTTATATGAAAGTTCCCGGAGGATTTAAAATGCCTGAAGCTTATAGCTCGAAACCTCGAGAAATGTTTTCCATTAAACTACAAAAGTCATTGTATGGACTAAAACAATCTGGACGAATGTGGTATAATCGTCTCAGTGAATACCTTCTTAAGGAAGGATATAAGAATGATCCAATTAGTCCATGTGTTTTCATCCGGCGATTAAATTCGCGATTCGCCATAATTGCAGTATATGTTGATGACTTAAATATTATTGGAACTCCCGATGAGATTGAAAATACTGCAAAATATCTTATGAAAGAATTTGAAATGAAAGATCTAGGGAGAACCAAATTTTGTCTCGGACTTCAAATTGAGCATTTGAAGAATGGAATTTTCATCCATCAATCCAATTACACCGAGAAAGTTTTGAAGAGATTCTATATGGACAAAGCTCATCCTTTGACTTCACCAATGGTGATTCGATCTCTCAACATACACGATGATCCATTCCGTCCCTGAGAAGATGAAGAAGAAATACTTGGTCCCGAAGTACCATATCTGAGTGCTATTGGAGCTTTAATGTATTTAGCTAATAATACTAGATCAGATATTGCATTCTCCTTAAATTTATTAGCTAGGTACAGTTCATGCCCAACAAGACGTCATTGGAACGGGATCAAGCACATATTCCATTATCTACGTGGTACAGTTGATCTTGGCTTATTCTACCACAAAGATGAAAAAGCTGCTTTAATCGGATATGCAGACGCTGGATACTTATCAGATCCTCAAAAGGCGAAATCACAAATCGGGTACGTATTTACTTATGGTAACACCGCAATCTCATGGAGATCTATGAAGCAGACATTGACAGCTACATCGTCAAATCATTCTGAGTTAATTGCACTATGTGAAACCGGAAGAGAATGTGTGTGGCTACGATCTATGATTCAACACGTCCAAAATGAATGCGGTATGAAATCTATTACTTGTCATCCTACTCTGATCTACGAAGACAACACTGCGTGCATAGCTTAGATTAAAGAAGACTACATCAAAGGAGACAGAACAAAACACATATCACCAAAGTTCTTCTCTACTCATGATCTCGAGAAAGAAGGGACGATCAACATTCAACAAATCAGATCCAGTTCAAATCCAGCCGATCTCTTCACCAAATCTTTACCCCCGAAGAAGTTCATGGAACTTGTACAGAAAATCGGCATGCAACATCTTCATAATTTTTACTAAATTCAGGGGGAGTATTTGAATGCACTGCACTCTTTTTCCCTTCATCAGGTTTTTATCCCACTGGGTTTTTCCTGATAAGGTTTTTAACGAGACAGTACATCCAAATACAACGACATTATAAGTCGTAATTTTTACCCCTTAATTTTCACAATAAGTTTTTAAAATAATAGACAACTATTCAAGGATGAACATTCAAGGGGGAGTGTTGTAAAATCCTGGAAATGACAAGTGTGAATTGTTCATCCTTGTCATCAATCCAGAAATTATGTTTAATCCTTGTAACATAGTTAGAACAGATGGCTCAAATTGTTATTGCCACCAAATCTGTAGATTCATCCCTTAAGTGACTAATCATCAAGTTCAAACAGTATAAATAGGAGCTTGATGAGGCATTGTAAATTCATTCAGAAATTCAGAAATTCTCAGATATTAAGAAGAAGATATTTAGAGCTTTTATTAATATATCTATCTCTCAAATTTAGTCTTCATCTTCTTCATTTTCATAACAAATATAAATTTGAAATTTAAAAATAAAGATTTATTGTTATGTTAAAATATTAAATCTTTAATTTTAAATTGCAAAATCATTATACTTCCGTTGTAAATGAAGCACTTCAAATTTATAAATATTAATTTTAGTCATGTTGTGAAATTTTGAATACATAGTTATATTTTTGAAATAACATTCTTTGATTTCGTTTAACCTTGATATAATTAAATTCACTATTTTTTAATCTTGAACTATTTATTATCATACAAAATATGTAATTTTATAGTACAAAGTATGGATGGACTCAGGCCGGGTGGCCCGACCTGGAACCGGCCCGGGACCGGTATTGTTCCGGCCCGGCCCGACCCGGTGGCCCGGTCAGTGACCGGTCCGAGTAGGCCCGGCCCGTGGGTTTTCCGGTCCAGGCTCGGGTCACCCAAAACAAGGCCCGACCCGGCCGGGCCCGAGCCCGGTTCGGGCCAAAAACTATTTTTTTTCAATTTTTTTAAATTTTCGGGTTGGGTTGCGTATTTTGGGCCAATTGGGGTGGTTTGGGGGGGGGGGTTGGGGGTGGGAGGGGGTTAATTAGGAAGAGGAAAACAAAACAAAAAAAATATAATGGGCCCGGCCCGGCCCGGACCCGGTGGTTACCCGGGCCGGTCCCGGGTCCACCATTTCTGACCCGCCGGCCCGCCCGGGCCTAGGCCCGACCCGGACCCGGCCCGGACCCGAGTCCATCCATAGTACAAAGAATGCCAAAAATTAATATTTTTTTGCATTGGAACACATTTGATAACATTTTTTTCAAAAGAATCTTAAATAAATAGTAAATTTTTGAATTAATATTTCATAATAAAAATATTAAATTGTGATATACAAACAATAAACGGAAGAATTGGAAACAAGTACATTTTTAAAATTTCGTGTTTTTTAAATTTGGTGCTTTTTTAATTTTTTTATCAATTTAAAGTTAATAAGGGTATATTTGCTTCTTTATAAGAATATGAGAGGTATTTTTGCACCTTTTAAAAAGTTTAGGGATATATATGCACTTCGACATATACTTTGAGGGTATATTTGTTCCAAAAAATAGAGCAGAAGTATATTTGTTCTCACATTCAGACTACATGGATATATTTGTACTTTTTCCCTTTTAGAAATTATCTATGTATACACACGACTTGAGTGTACATGTAAATGAGGTGTGTGTATTAAGAATGGTTGTTTTATGTACCGGCAAGTTCAATTCCAAACTTTCAATTTTGTACTTATTTTTTTATTTGTATCAATTAACCGTTGTCCTTTAGAGTAATTTATTATCATTGAGTTTTTTTAATACTCGTACAACCGGCATACCTAATAGTCAATATTAAATTTCTTTTCCCTTCTCATTGAGTTTGACAACGACGCTCCCATGCATTATTTAGTTAATTGAAGGGAATGAATTATTGAATATCCATTTCATGCAGCATGATCTCAAACCTGAAATGAATCATGGCACACCAGAGATTTGTACGCTTTTGCATTCTTCATCTCTTTCTAATCAACGTGATTTATTCGAAGGTTTCCTCCATCAGAGGCGATGAGGATGAATACATCTCAGCCGTTGGTGATCCGGGAATGAAAAGGGATGAGCTGAGATTGGCGATAGAGGCATGGAATCAATGCAATGAGGTTGGAGAAGAGGTTGTCAGAATGGGAAGCCCCAGGGCTGCTGATTGCTTTGATGTCTATAAAGATTCACCATTTCAGCCACAAGGTATATATGTTCTTATGCTTATGAATTATGATGTCTACATGTTCTATAAAGTACAAATATTATCATTCTTTTTCTCCTGATAATTGCACTTTTGCCCCCAAAGTATCAAGATTGTGGACATTGGTCCTAATTGCATTAATTGAATCTCTAATAGTTGGACATATGTACACCGGAATCTGTCCATCAACCCCTCAATCCAATAAGATATTACGGAGTAAGATTTGAAGGTACATAGTAAATGTAACATAGTTTTTTTGGTCTAAGACTTTATATGTGTTTGTATTTTTATATTCAACCAGAAGAACATAACTTAACATAGGAGCCATGGGGCTAACAAGGCACACACATGTAACACTTAGAATGAACTAGTCAAGTTCTTCATCATAATCATCACTGTCATCATGTAGAGAAATTTCAGAGAGCCCATCAAAGCTCACACAAGTTCCACATTTAGTGGAGGTCCAAGCCTGTGCAACTTACCATCCATCTCTTAAAATTTGGATGGCTATGGTGTGCAGAGGAAGGACCGAGTTGTAAACAAGTGAAAACATTAGAAGCCCGATTGATGCAAATAAAAAGCCAGGATGACTATAATCTTGATATCATAGTAAAACATGTTTATTATATATGTCCCCCTCTTTCCCAAAATGTTTTTCAGCCATTTCCTTTTGGTCATCTAAAAAGATGACTATAATCTTGATATCATAGTAAAACACGTTTATTATGTCCCCTCTTTCCCAAAATGTTTTTCAGGCATTTCTTTTTGGTCATCTAAAAAAGTTATTATTTTCTTTTAAGCAAAGAATTGTTTGGTTTATACTGATTCTACCTTTTTGTATAAATTTAAACCACCCAACTTCTTTCCCATTAAATAGAGTAAAAATTAAATGGAGAAGCATTTTGGGATTGTGCAAGAATAGTAGAATACCAGGTCTATTTGGAATAAACAATAATTTCTCTTTCTGCAATGTACTGCAGTCCCAATCATGTTACTCCACAGAGTGACAGAGCAGGATAACAAGCTAGGAATTGGCCGTTCTTTTCCCGGTTTGAGACAAGAAGCAATTTCCAATCCAGACCTTTATGCTTCACAGAAAGAACTCTACATAGGCTCAAAATGTCAAGTGGAGGACACACCAAGACCATGGCAGTTCTGGATGATCATGCTAAAGAATGGCAATATGGACACCAAAGCAGCAAAGTGCCCCAAAAATGGCCACAAATCAGAGCCATTTGGGCCTGATAACAACTTCCCTTGCTTTGGCAAAGGCTGCATGAATCAACCTCTGATTTTCCACAATTACACAAGTTCACAAGGGCCTAATAAAACAATGCTAAAAGGAACCTTTTACGGAACATGGGATTTGAATTCTAGTTTCGGAAAAACTAGAAAAAACTCGTTTTATTCTGTGAAGTGGGAAAAAGAAGTTGGAAAGGGAAGTTGGTCTTTCCACCATTTTCTGAGGACCTCTACAAAATATCCATGGCTAATGCTCTATCTAAGGGCAGACACCACAATTGGATTCTCGGGTGGGTACCACTATCCAACTAGAGGCATGTTAAAAATTGTGAGTAAATTCCCGGATTAAAATTCTACATATGGATTTTCCTATAAAATTACTAAAATAAAACTTATGGACAAAATTGTAGTTACTTGGTCACTATAGTAACAAAGAACATTACAAATCACTACACAGTAAAATGGAGGATCACCATGACTCCAACAGTCATGATAAAAATAGAACTATGGTCACTTCCCAGTAAAAGTGTCCTTTTAGTGTTTTGTCCATTTATTATAAAACGAAAAAATATATTATTTTTATAAAAATAAAGAACAAAAAATGAGTTCTAATACGCAGTGACCAGAATGGTATTTTCACAGTGACAATTGTAGTGACTATAGCGATGTTTAATTTTGCACCGTAGTGTGCATGAAGATATTTTCATAGTGATAGTAGTGACCATGTATACATAATTTTGTCAATGAGTTCTATTTTAGTAAAATTAAAAGACAAGAACATTTTGGGTGGCGGTACTCTATTCAAGAACATTTGTGCCAATGTTATATTTATCATTATTTAACTCTATATTAGCCATATTTACTCAATATTGGGTGACTTATCGTTACATGGATCCAGATCCCAAAATCGCCAAACTTCAAGGTGAGATTCACCCTACACGTGATCAAGGGAGGAGGTCCAAACAGCCAATTCTATTTGCTGGACATTGGAAGCTGTTGGAAGAACAATGGAAAACCATGTGACGGAGATGTAACATCAGACGTTACACGATACAGTGAAATGATACTAAATCCAGAAACAATATCAAAGTGCAATGCCACTAACCTAAAGATGTGTCCTCCATATCACACATTCCCTAACGGAACCAGAGTTCACCGAAGCAACACATTGCATTTTCCCTATGGGGCATATCACATGTATTGCTCACCGGGGAATGGGGAGAATATTGAGATCCCTTATGTTCCTTGTGATCCATACAGTAATCCTCAACCTCAGGAGATTTTGCAGATTCTGCCTCATCCCGTTTGGGGTGACTATGGTTACCCTACCAAGAAAGGTGAGGGTTGGATTGGAGATTCAAGAACATGGGACCTTGATGTTGGTGGGCTATCCCATTCCCTTTACTTTTACCAGGTAACTAAAACATAGCAACAACAACACAATTTTGATAGTATTTGATGCCAATAATAAAAGGAAATGAATACTATTAGGCTTAAATATGTATTTAGTTCATTTGTACAAAAAATTTATTTTTGGTTTTAGGTCCCACCATTTTCCGTCCCTCTAATTTGCACTATTTGTCATTTTATTTTCTCACTAACTATAGCAACCTCTGTCTAACAATCAAACATACTACATGTCTACATATATTACTAACACATGATTTATGTCATGCTTTTTCACAATATTGATTTAAGATAGCTTACTTATGAGCTTATCTTAATTAAAAACATGAGTGGTTAATTTCGTTTAGCTTAAATTCCTCTAATAGCCTCTAACATTCTAACAAGTTATACAAACTTTACAAGGAAAGTTTAGAGATGAGTTATGCGAGTTGTATTAATATTATTTTTCAAAATAGAGAATCTTCGAGAGTAAGATTTAGATAAAAAAGAAAATAACATGTGTTGGAAGGATGAAAAACAACAAAATCTAGAGACCTAACCAAAAGCTGTTATATTTGCATGGACAAAATACACATTTAGTCTTATTATACACACTGATATTTTGGTGCAGGATCCAGGAACAAGACCATCTACAAGGGAATGGACATCAATTGATTTAGGAACAGAAATATTTAAAGATCCTAACCAAGAGGCAGAGTGGACTGTTACTGACTTTGATGTTCTTATTACTAAGAAAACCGAGAGAAATTAAAAATATCTTCCATGAATGATAACTGTTATATACCATAAAGTATTTCTTAATTGAGGGTAAGACATCATATATTCAATATTATGGGAAAAATAACAAATTGTTTTTCTTGTATCAAGTATCAACAATGTATTTTAACGGAATAAGAGACTATTTATATTGCTGTAAAGTTTACAAGTATGAATTATCATTTTTATAAAATATTTCACTATAATTACATGAGTGTTTTTGTTTTACCACTAGATTGATATGGCTTGATGCCTATGGAGTTCCGTTGCCATGTAATGAAAGGGGAAAAGGTAATCTAGTGGGAAATATAAGGGTATTTGAAGTGATGCATTATTGCACTAGATACTAGCTTAGCAATGGTTTTGGAAAAGTGTGAAAAGTGTCAATTTCACAATTCATTCATCTTCTCCACATTCTTGAGCTCAAATCTCTCCATTTATTATATAGTTTGGATCCGTATAATCCATCAATGGTGCTTTCATTGAGAATTTTGAGCAATAATCAAGTGAGATTCTTCCCAAAAATTCAAGAAATTTATTCCAAATTCCACCAAAAGTGTTCTGGAAAGTCCAAAAAAAAGAAATGAAGAAATCTGGAATTTTCCAGATCTGGAGCTCCTCTTGTGCGATCTAAACCCCGTCAGTCATGGTGGAAGGGAAGAACTCGCCGGAACCTGCCGAGCGGGGGAAGCAGCTGGAGTCTGGAACCAGGCCAATGACCAGCGGCGACGCCACAGCAAGGCCGCACATCGCCGGGAATCTGCGACCTGGAGAACCAACGACGGATCTACGGACGCCCCCAAGCATCAGCTCCGCCACAATGACAGATTGAGGACCTGCTGACGGGCAGTTCTCCGCCCAAGTCTGCACTAAACCAGTGTTCGACGGCCAGCGGCGAAGTACGAGATCTTAGTACAGGCTCCGCCATCTCGCTCGCGACGAAGCCCAACTCCCAGCCGCTACGCCACCGCTCCGGTTGCCATAACAGCTCAAGGAAAGCCTAGGCCACGATTTCCATCCTCCGGAGTCATTTTCTTTGGTTGCTGGAGCTCGGCCTCGGAGGTCCACCATTAATGGCCACCTCAAAGCTCCAGAAGATGATGACCGAGTCTGAGTTTCGTCATCTCCGCCACAGCGCCGCCTGCCTCCTCCTGGGGATCTACCGACTGAACGCCACATGAAGTCGCAGCTCTTCTTCCGGTTTGAGGCCCCCTGAGCGCACCAACGACCCTCCGCCCCAGACCGCATGGCCCCACGACTTGGTACGAATGAAGGGGGCAGCTTGGTGCGTTGATTTCTGTCAAGCAAGAAGCCAGACCTAGATCAAGTCAAGAAGTGCGGGCCACGACTACTTCAGCCCAAAATTGATACCAACCAATGAAAATGGGCCTCAATTCAACAACACATCCAACAAACGGCCCAAATAAGAGCTAAGTGCCCAATACTCCTATTTTATACGCTCAAAATATTTATTAAATGATAGTAGTATAATTATTACTATTATTAATTATATTATTTCCACCACCATTGTGGCGGGTTAAAAACCCCCGAGGTGGTGAAGACCATTATGACGGATTAAAATTTTCCGAGGTCGCTAATGATGCATTATTATTGGCATTATTATTTTTATCACCGCCATTAAACCAGGTCAAAAAACCCCAAAGTGGTAGACCCGAGCTCTAGTTTACTGAACATCTTTATTTGATGATTCAGATTATATTTAGGTCCATCGACCCACCCTAGTCACCTTTATGTGCTGACTCGGACATCTAAAATTGAGAGCCGCTATCGGCCGCACACGACATTATTATGCTTAAGAGCGGTAAACGGTACACCTCAGTCTAAGATACCGCATATTACATCGACCCCTTAGAGGGAAATGCTCAGGAAAGGTCGACAGAGCACACCGTTTCGGCCCCTCAGAGCGAAAATGTTCAGGAAAGGCCGGCGGTGTCCCCAGGACGAAGGGCCCGCAAAGAGCCCACGTCTTGAAATAGGAAGCTCACCGCGTCGTCTATCCGCGAAATCAGCAGGACGACAGGTCTGAAATTATGGCCGAGGTGAAAAAAATCCCCAAACTCAGGGATGAGAAACGACAGTCGTCGGTAACCGACCAAAAGCCTTAGCCCGCGTCATAAATAGGCGACGGGACCTCCCTGAGATCACAGGACGATCCAGTAGGACTCCTTACCGGCCGAGGGACTATCGACCCCCTTGGCCGAAGCCTGAAAGAAGGATACCCACTCCTCGCTCAAAAGAGTAAAGAGGAAGAATATAAAAGAGGGAAAGTCGAAGGACCGCGCACTCGCCGGCCTGAAGCGATATCCCCATAAATCAAAAGACGGAAGCCGAGGACCGTGCACTCGCTGGCCTCGAGCAATAAAAAATAAAATCCCCACAAATCAAGCCACATATTTGGCTAAGTATCATCTCAGACGAGCGCCCAGTGCCGTCCATCATCTCAGACGAGCGCCCATCGCCGTCCCTCATCTTCAGACGAGCCCCCAGCGCCGTCCCTCATCTGAGACGAGTGCCCAGTGCCGTCCATCATCTCAGACGAGCGCCCAGCGTCGTCCATTATCTCAGACGAGCACCCCGTGTCGTCCATCATCTCAGACGAGCGCCAAGCGCCGTCCCTCATCTCAGACGAGTGCCCAGCGCTGTCCATCATCTCAGACGAGCGCCTAGCGCCGTCCCTCATCTCAGACGAGCGCCCAGCGCCGTCCATCATCTCAGACGAGCGCCCAACGCCGTCCATCATCTCAGATGAGCGCCCAGTACCGTCCATCATCTCAGACGAGCGCCCAGCGCCGTCCCTCATCTCAGACGAGCGCCCAACACCGTCCCTCATCTCAGACGAGCGCCCAGCGCCGTCCCTCATCTTTGGACCGGCTCCACCGCCCTTCATGTTCAGTCCGGCGTCAACGCCCTGCCCTTCCTCATATCACGACCGGCCCATCGGCCTCGGCGTGATTATCTATCTCAAGACCGGCTTCCTCGGTGCCGAGAGTCTTGAGCTAGCGATTGGGCTCGCCATCCCTTCCTGGATGGTGACCATCGCCTCTATATGACGGCTGGCTCATCATCGCCTCTATATGACGGCTGGCTCATCATATTATCGGATCGGCTTCTCGGCATCGCCATCCAGACATCACGACCGGCCCCTCGGCCTCGGCGTGATTATCTATCTCAAGATCGGCTTCTGACGAGCACTTTTGTCAAGGTGCGTCAAAATAAATTCAATACTAAACACTTATACGTAGTATAGCGTAGTAGAGTTCGTATCCACAGGGAAAGGAATGATTTTCTTTCTATGAAACTAGTAATTAAAAAGGGGGGGGGGGGGGGGGGGGGGGTTGGTTTTGAGTGATTTAATTCAATTAAGAAACTAAGATGAACAACCTATATGTGTTTAATTCAAGAATAAAAGGGACTTGGCTTTGCTACTTTCCACTTGTTGATATATTTTAGTCGATCCTTGTTATATCTATAACTTATCCCCTCTCGAATACTCAATCGAGGAGTATATCCAATTCATCGAGGGTAGTTATTAACAACGATCGTTCATTAATAACCCTTACTATTAATCAAATATAGAACAACGCCGTATACCGATATAATAGTAGCATTCAATCTTTTTAACTCCTTGATGAAATCAATTGAGATTGATAACCTTAACACAACGGTTTCGGTTTAACCAACAAAATTGATCCCTCTTAAGTCTATTAACCACGACCGTGCATTAATAAACCGAAGTTACTTACTTGTGAAACCACCAACGATTAACCATCGGTTCGTTGATCGTTTCTAGTAGTAATTAATGTCGTAACGTTAACTAATCGTCACTTAGCAACCCTCCAACATTAATATAGAATGAGATTAAGGGAAGAATTAATAATCAAGAGAAGAAGTTAAGAAAATAACTCACAACTTTAATAATCAACAAGCTTCAAGAGCAAAACCAAGAATGGAAGTTTAGCTCCTCATTTGGAGGCTAAACATAGCTAGAAAAATATAAAGAAATGCTATTCTAAACTGAGCTTAAGAGTATGGAAGAAGGGATGATGAAATGTGAAGGGAAATGGGGCTATTTATAGGTGTTTTCAACACCTAATGCCGGATACCCGGCCGGGTATTTTGACATACCCGACCGGGTATTTACCTAATCAAATATTTTCCCATGTTTTTGTGTCTTCTGCACGTCTTTTGGTCTGAAATCACAGAATACCCGACCGGGTATATGGAATACCCGACCGGGTATTTGCTAGTTTGCAGCAGTTTCCTTTGTCACTTCATACCCGGCCGGGTAAAATCCATACCCGACCGGGTTTTGCACAAAACTCAGGTTTCTTCATCCTTTTTGCTTCCAACCCTATCCTAAACTTAAAACCAAACTAACTACAACTTACAACAAACAATAAAATGCTTGAAATATGATTACAATCAAATGCAAACTCACAACTATAAACTTGCACAAAACTAGTAAATAAACATTACAAACAATAATAAAAATGTATACTTAGGCACTAACAACTAGTGCCTATCAGCTTCCTCAGCGTCGAGAGTCTTGAGCTAGCGATTGGGCCCGCTATTCCCCTCCCGGATAAGCGACTGTCGCCTTTATATGACGATCGGCTTCCATCATCGCCTCATCATCATTTATTGGAACGGCTCATCACCGCCGTCATCCTCACATCGCGGCAGACCCCTCGGTCTCAATGCGATCTTTTATATTGACACGGCAGACCCCTCGGTCTCAGCGTGATCATCATACTCTGAAGATCGGCCTCATCCTCTCACTTTATGGATAAGGACCGCTGCATGGACTTTCGGATCGGCCTCCCAGTGCTGACGTCCGTACATCATGACCGGCCCCTCGGCCTCAGCATGATGACCTATCTCAAGACCGGCTTCCTCAGCGCCGAGAGTCTTGAGCCAGCGATCAGGCTCGCCATCCCTTCCTGGATGGTGACCATCGCCTCTATATGACGGCCGGTTCATCATCGCCCCGTCATCATATTATCGGATCGGCTTCTCAGCATCGCCATCCGGACATCACGACCGACCCCTCAGCCTCAGTGTGATTATCTATCTCAAGACCGGCTTCCTCAGCGCCGAGAGTCTTGAGCTAGCGATCGGGCTCGCCATCCCTTCCTGGATGGTGACCATCGCCTCTATATGATGGCCGGCTCATCATCGCCCCGTCATCATATTTCGGATTGGCTCATTCTCATCGCCATCCGAACATCACGACCGGCCTATCGGCCTCGATGTGATTATTTATCTAGAGACCGGTCTTAGTCATTCCTTTTCCGGATGACGACCGTTGCATGGATTTTAGGACCGACTCCTCATCGCCGTCGTCCTCGAATCAGTCTCGGCCCCTCGGCCTCGTCGTGATTATCTATCTCAAGACCGTCTTCCTCAGCGCCGAGAGTCTTGAGCTAGCGATTGGGCTCGCCATCCCTTCCTGGATGGTGACCATCGCCTCTATGTGATGGCCGGCTCATCATCGCCCCGTCATCATATTTCGGATTGGCTCCTTCTCATCGCCATCTGCACATCACGATCGGCCCATCGGCCTCGACGTGATTATCTATCTCAAGACCGGCTTCCTCAGCACCGAGAGTCTTGAGCTAGCGATCGGGCTCACTATCTCTTCCTGGATGGTGACCATCGCCTCTATATGACGGCCGGCTCATCATCGCCCCGTCATCATATTTCGGATTCGCTCCCTCTCATCGCCATCTGCACGTCACGACCGGCCCATCGGTCTCGGCGTGATTATCTATCTCAAGACCGGCTTCCTCAGCGCCGAGAGTCTTGAGCTAGCGATCGGGCTCACCATCCCTTCTTGGATGGTGACCGTCGCCTTTATATGACGATTGGCCCATCATGGCCTCATCATAATTTATTGGAACGGCTCATCAGCGTCGTCATCCTCACATTGCGGTAGACCCCTCGGTCTCAATGCGATCTTGAGCTAGCGATTGGGCTCACCATCCCTTCCTGGGTGGTGACCATCGCCTCTATATGACGACCGGCTCATCATTTCCCCGTCATCATATTTCGGATTGGCTCTTTTCATCACCATCCGCGCATCACGACCGGCCCCTCGGCCTCGGCGTGACTATCTATCTCAAGACCGGCTTCCTCAGCGCCGAGAGTCTTGAGCTAGCGATCGGGCTCGCCATCCCTTCCTGGATGGTGACCATCGCCCTTATATGACGATCGGCTTCATTCTTGCCTCGTCATCATATTATCGGATCGGCTC